CTATGATGCTGCTTGGCCTGCTGTGTTCATCCAGCCCTGCACCTTGTTATAAAAGATTTTATACTGTGTGTGTAGACAGATGTTCTATGGTGTTCTGGCAAATGTTTATCCCCCAAAAAATGTTGCGAGACTTGTAGCTGAGGGTTCTATTCTGCACATTGGCCGTTTCTATCTCACGCAGGAGAGAGCTGAACACTGGTCAGGGGTAAGGCTTAGTGTGTTTGTGGAGGTAGAGTGAGAGCTGTTGTTCCCAGTAATAGTTACTGTCATCCATATGGTACAAGGACTAAGGGACTCAGATTTAAAGTTTTGGGCAAGAGCTCCAGGGGGAGTATGAAAAGAAATTTGTTTTTATACGCAAATGGTAGTGAACCAGATTCTACTGTCCAAGAAAGGAAATAATCCACAATTTCACAAGGAAGCTGAATGGGAAGGTAGAGGAAATAAATGTGCAAGACCACAGGGACTGACTGGGTTACTCCATCAAGGGGCAACATTCAATCAAAGGACTAAATGGTCTCTTTCTGTTTGCAAATAACCCTATGACTCCCTGATTCTTAATTACGAAGGTATGGAAGTTGAGATACATCTAACATTGTGTCAGAGGTATGTTCACTTCACGGATAATCAAGGGCATTTATGCACTATTTCACCACTATCTCACAGAAATCCTTAGATTAGTGCAGATTCAAGTTCAACAACTTAATGAACACCAGTAAATACTGGGCATTCATTGTCCCCAGCAAATTATTAACTTATATCATGACTCTCTTTGTCTGAACAGACATCAGAAAATATCTACAAATCACTCAGTTACACTGTTGATTCTTTCTAAGTCATTCTGCTCACTTCACCGCAGCTGCAAAACTGTCAAGCATTAATCAGTAAATTAGAAAGTTTCAGAGACGTCAGCTGCACCCAAACAACCTAAAAGAAAAACCGATTCTTAAAATGATCATAAAATCAAATCTTGTCTCAAGGTTTAACATTTGATATAAACCATTGAGATATTGAGGAATAAATGAGGAACTATTTCCAGTGCCAGGTAAGACAGAGGTCACAGAATTTAAAATGACTGGTGAAAGTTCAAAAGTGAATTGTTATATAAAACAGCAGGATATATCATTGGGAATATGCTGACTGGTTGATGCGGGAGTCGATTCATGTTGTAACTTTCAAAAGAAAACTGGATATTTATTTGAATGGGCGAAAATATGATAGGGGAGGGGTATGAATTAGATATCTCCACAAAGAGTCAGATCTTTCTATGATTGCATATTATATCTGATGCTGTCCTGAAGGCCTGAATTAGACTCAAGCTGAAATTCAATCCTAGAGATCCTGTAATCCCCTCTTCACACACATATATACACACACGTGGGCACACACACACAAGGTCACAGGCACAAACACATAAAGATACACAGACATGTATACACACACACACATACGCACACACACACACACATACGCGCGCACACACACACACGGACACACACACACACGGACACACACACACACGGACACACACACACACGGACACACACCCAGACTAATAGATGCATAAAACATCCGTTAGTCTCACTCCCCTGAGCATTTGCCATTGCCAAGTATCTACCCAATTCACTTTTAACAGTTGCCATTGAATCCACTACCGTTCAGGAAATGCATTCCTGATCATAGCAACTCGCTGTGTTAAACAATGATACTCACTTCACTTGATTATTTTATGGGACAACTTCCAATTTGTGTCCTCTGGTTATCGAACCCCTGTCAGTGGGAACATTTTTGCCCCGTGTACTCTAACAGAACTGAATCAGTACAGTTATCTTATTCAGAAAGCCTACAATATGGCTCAATGGAAAACTGGTGCAGTGATGAAGTCAGAGTGTTTCAGCCTCCCTTTTGGAAGGGTGTCTTCTGACCCAATACTCAGAGTAATCTTCAGCACTGTATTGGCATGACCAGTCGCACAACATACATCGAAACCTGATCCTTTCTGATCTGATTTACACTGAATGTTTATAGATTAGTCCAGGTTTTTCCAACAACAATATCTGCCCGTTCCTTTTGTTGTAGCTGAATGCTTTGCTGGACACCTCAGAGTGAATTGTGCTGTGTGAAGCAAAGCATTAATAGACCGAAGCAGGTTAAGATGATGGGGTCTCTTCCTTGACGTTGGGTGTTGGCTTTTTACACCAATCAAGCAACTATGAAGTTCAATTTGTCCAGATGCGAATTACCTCGTATTTTTGGAATTAAATATAGGTTAACAGAAGAAACAGAGGCTAGTTGGAGAACATACTTTTCCATGAATTATTATAATCTGGAATGATCTGCCTGTAAAGATGGTGAAGGGAAAACTGCCAGGGGGTATTGGCTTCAGGGAAGTAGCAGGGTGGTAGGACACCGGATATTCTTTCAAGGGGCCGGTATGCGTGCAAATGGGCCGAATGGTCTCCTCAGCTGTGTTGTATTGATTCGGAGATAGCTCGCCATTGTATGATTTGAGCTCACAAGCTCTGGTCTTGATTGGCAAGTGGTTCACAAGTATTCCCATCGCATCCTGATGGAGATGACTGGTACAATGGTCACAAACATTCGGTGAGGGAGATGATACCTATTACCCCAAGACACCATCTTCCTTTGTATCATAGCCTCTTTCTAATGAGCATTATACTTACTGTGCTTTCACTAAGTGCAGGAGGTGGTCCCTGGCTCCGAAACGCAGCAGGTACCGTACTTGGTTCTTGTGGTCACTCTGCAATTCCCACTGAAAAGCAATGGAACAGAAATGGCCATCAGTTGGCTGTACAGTCACTGACAGAGACTGAATGCAACCTCTCTCTTGTCAGGGCCACCACAATTTGAGGAAACCTTCAAAAAGCCTTCAAAGTGGATTTGACCCTTTCACTGAAACCCTTCTTCAGCAGACTGATGGCCTGCTCAGTGGAGGGGTGTGTAGAGAGATAGCAGGAGCTGCATCGTTCCTATCCCTTTACTTCACTGTCTGTTCAAAGGAAAGCTGTCTGGTGCCACGAACAGTGACAGTGACATCTTTGACTGCCGTAGGATGAACGGATCATGGACACAGCCAGTAAATCTGCGTGCACACCCAGAGGAACTGTTTGTGATAATCACACCAGCTGCATGTTGAATCAATGGAATGTTTTCCAGTTGATAAAGAAAAACCCAGGTGTCATTGCCTTGTCCTTTTATAGATAGCGTGATGAAGCTGATCATACCCCACACCTGAGTGAATCCTAGCATGGAGACCAATCCCATGGTACCCTGTGCTTAACTGGTCACATCCGTGGTTGAGATAATGATGCCCAATGCCCTCAATTACATTCATTGCCTAAGGGATGCTACCATGGGCAGTCTATTGTGAGACATCACAGAAAGAAGTCCCTGACCTTCGAAAGAAATCAAACACTGGAAACGTCAAGGGCAAGGGTTGTAGGGAAAAAGTAGGAAAGTGGAGCGGAAGATTATCAGATCAGCTATGATCTCATTGAATGGCAGAGCAGAATCAATGGGCCGAATAGCCCAGTTTTGATCCTATATCCTATGGTCTCACAGTTCCCCTCCAGAGCTGCTCAGTGATCTGCCCCTACCTTAAGGTTTTACCCTGATTGCCACACTGGCATCTCACTGCACCTGCCAACTCTACTGGTATGTGGTTCAGAAAATGGGCAGTTTGAGATAGCTCACTGCCACCTATTCCCCCGGTGAGTATATTTCATCTAAGGCCAATCTAGTGATCAGTGGTAGTCTTTACAGAAGCTGCGAGTTAACAAGAGGGTAATTTCATGATAGCAATAAGTACAACTACAAGCTAGTCAGAAAAAATTACACAGACCTTTCAGAATACATCTGCCTAGAAAGGCTAATGTCATAGAGTCATAGAGTCATACAGCACAGAAACAGACCCTTTGGTCCAACCAGTCTGTGCCAAACATAGTCCCAAACCAAACTAGTTCCACCTGCCTGCTCCTGGTCAATATCTCTCCAAACATTTCCTTTCTTCACCCACAGACTGGGGCATCATCAGAAGTGGTAGAACTCAACGTGACAAGAATATTAATCCTTCAGAACAATTCCAATGTGCAACAATTGGCCTCAATAAGTATACTGTTACTCAGACATGCTCATGGTCATTTGGCAGTACTCTCTGTGCTGTGGGTAGCAGCTTCTTATCCCTCATGTAATTACCCAATTTCCCCTTACATGAGCATAGAACATGAGCATACAGCACAGGAACAGGCCCTTCAGCCCACCACATCTATGATATGTGCCGCAAAAACTCTTGTGGTAGCAAGTTCCCCATTCTCCCCTTTTTTCAAGGCAAAAGACCTGTCTTGAATTTTTAATCGGACATATCAGCGACTATCTTACGTTGATGATGCACTTCATCACACTTCAAACTAAAAATTTTTAAAACATGAGCCCATCTATTTACTGAATTCAACAGGCATAATGATTCATTATCAGTGATGAAAGAACTCCTGGATTGCATAAACCCAACTGAGGGGTGTGGCAAAATGCAATCTGAATGCAAGTTTTTCTTATTTTTTTTCTTAGCTCTAGTCACAAACTCTAATCACCTTAAAGATTGAATGTGCTGGCACTAACTTGTTGGTCATGCTAACAATGTTCGTTGTTCTCTGACAAATCACTCTCAGAGAACCTAATCCAAAAATATGCAATTTGCATTTAAGAAGATAATTTCTGCCAATCGCCTGGGGGTCATGTATGTGCTAACCTCATTTTCAGCCCATTTCTGGGACTGTGGCCAGATGGGGATGAGAGGAAACGTTTTCCCTTCAGTGATTTTTTACAATCTGGAATATGCACCTCCTGAAATTTTCGTAATGGAAGTGGAGATGGATGATTACTTGAAAACGCACAGAGACCTGCACAACCACAGGGGGAGTTGGACTGAGCTGTGTCAGCTGTTGTTGGTAGTGTTCTCCCCTCTAAATCATAAGGTTTCAAGTCCACATTCCACTGCAGAGAGCATGCATGGTGCTATCTTTTCTGCTTGGGTGGAGGTACATTTATGGAAGTCATATAAAGCAACGAAATACACAATTAATGGGAAGCAATGGACCTTTGAATGTCCACAGATCCCTGATGGTGACAGGACAGGTGATTAAAAAGGCATCTGGTATCATTTGCTTTATTAGATGAGATGCAGAATATATGAGCAGGGAATGCTGGAGCTGCATAAATCCATAGTTAGGCCACAACTTGAGTACTCTCTGGTCACCTCATTACAGTTGCCCCTGCGAGAGTACAGAGGTTAAAGAGGATGTAGCCAGGAAATGAAAAATGCAGCTATCAAGAAAGATTGAATAGAATCATAAAATCCCTACAGTGTGGAAGCAGGCCATTCGACCAAAGGAGACCACACTGACCATCCAAAGGGCATCCCACCCAGACACCCCATCCCAACATCTCCTTGTAACTCCAGATTTCCCACGGCTAATACACCCAACCTGCACATCCCTGGACCCTATGGGCAATTTAGCACAGCCAATACACTTCTTTAGACTGTGGGAGGAAACCCACACAGATACAGGGAGAACGTGCAAACTCCACACAGACAGTCCCCTGAGGCTAGCATCGAACACAGGTCCCTGGCGCTGTGAGGTAGCAGTGCTAACCACTGAGCCACCATGCCACCCTGTTGGCTGGGGTTGGTCTCCTTGGAGCAGGGTACAGCCACTGAGAGGGTTCCATGCATGCAGATTGGTGTGTCAACTCATGTATGAACCTTGCAGACCATTCAGAGGCTAGCAGAATTATAGGGAACCAATAGGCCTGCAAACAGGCAATCTCACCTCTGTAATTTTCTGCGACCACAGACCCAAGGGTTCAGTCAGTTTTCTTGCGATGGCAATTTCATGGGAATGCATGGAGTGGCTCTTCACGGTCAGCAAGCAGCAACTTCCTGAAAGGAAGAGGTCAAGGTTACAAAAGCTGAAACATGGCAACAGGTAACTGAGATACCGGCTGGACACGCCGAACTGTCCCCAAAGGTAAGTCTGGTGTAGTACTGAGTGAAACAAAGCTGTCGTTAATCGATTTGATCACCAGTCAATGCAATTTTCATTGCAACTGATTTGCAGAATCATAGGTAGCAGGCTCCAATATTAACTACCAAGGATGAGCTCGGCCATTGAGTTAAATGTGAAATCAGATCTCAATTAACAGACGAGAAATCGAGAGCAAGGTGTATATTAAACAGTCACTGGCCATTTTTACAGAACGTGTGAAACTAGCAGCAAAATGCAACAATGGACTTTAGAACGTAAGCATCACTTTCCTTGTAGTCCAGAAGAATACAGGATGTTCATACGTGCCATTCAAAGATAACTTCAACCTGCTATGTCCCAGTCATTGCCTGTCCCTCTAGCTCCTGCCAGGATTAGAAACAATACCATCTCCAATCTGCAGTCTGGTCCCTCCTGTTTGGCAAGAATGATCTCCCCATGGTCCACGGTCATGGATGTTTCTGTTTCTTCTTCCTACTCAATGTCAATCTGATCAGTTGCCAGCAAGAACTGGCAAAATACAAAAAAATTATAAACCGAACTTGACTGCTGGGCCCCCTACCATGGCAGATTTCTCGTGCACAACTGCACTCCCCCAGGTGTTCCCTATTTTCTTATAAGTACAGAGAGAATTGAATCACACAGCAGGGAAGGAGGTCATTCAGCCCATTATGCCTGTGCCACCTCTTTAGAAGAGATATGCAGTTAGTCTAACTTCCCCACATTTTCAGTGATCATCCTTTCCAACTCTCCCTCTTGTTCTATCTCACAAAAAATTTGCACAACGGAAAAAAGCAGGGAAATATATTGCGGTGCTACTTTTAGCAAAGCCATTAAACAACTTTTATCTACCAACTGTTGCGTCATTGCATTTCTACAGAAGCTTTTCCTGATAACGTATTGTGTGATCTTTGAGATGAAAACATTCGGCTTGATTGCTCGATCACGCTATGCTAATGAGCTGGCACAGGGCAGCTGATGAAGGGCCCAAGGTCAAGAAGGCAGGTTTAAACTAATCAAAAAGAAACAAAAATGTTATGAGGAAAAATCAAGATCTGGAGTGCATCACATGAATTCTGTCAAGCAAAGCATGTAAGAACATGCTATTTGAAAAGGAATAGTGTAAAGGATATGGGAGAGAACGCAGGAAAGTTGTGTTAAGTGAAATGTTCATTCCGAGGGCTGGTGCAGACATACAGTCATAGAATCATAGAGGTTTACAGCATAGAAGCAGGCCCTTTGGTCCATCTTGCCCATGCCACCCAATTTTCACAATTTAAACTAGTCCCATTTGCTTGCATTTGGCCCATATCCCTCCATACCTAGCTCATACATGTACCTGTCTCAAATTTTTTTTAATGACGAAATTATACTTGCCTCTGCCACTACGTCTGGCAGCCTGTTCCAAATACTCACCACCCTCTGTGTGAAAAGATTGCCCCTCTGGACCCTTTTCATACATCTCCCCTTTCACCTTAAACCTATGCCCTCTATTTTTAGACTCCCCTACCATGGGCAAAAGCTGCTGGTTACCTACCGTATCTCTGCCTCTCGTGTTTTTATAGACCTCTATAAGGTCATCCCTCAGTCTCCTACGCTCCCTCTATGCAACTTTTCCTTATAACTCAAACCTTCCAGTCCAGGTAGCATCCTAGTAAATCTTTTCTGTGCTCTTTCTGGTTTAATAATATCCTTTTTATGGTAGGGCAACCAGAACTGCATGCATACTCCAAATGTGGCCTCACCAACATCTTGTACAGCTGCAACAGGACATCCCAATTCCTATACACAATGGAGTTAATGGCCTCCTTAATAATTCTGTGATTGTTATTGGCTGTGTTACTCTCCGAGACCATCGCTCAAGTTCTTGCTTACAAAGTAAGGAAGGAATTTCACTATTAAGGGAGAGTTCGTTGCAGTTTGCAAATATGATCCAATTTCAAAATAATGCTGTTGCCATTAGACTTCAAAAATAATTTTGAAGAACAAATTTCCAAAGGAGTTAACAATTAATCTAATCAAATATTAACAAGTGAAACTTAATTCAAACGTACAAATCCACACACGCATCATCTTTCCTGACTACGTGCTACGCAATTATTCAGCTGAAACCAAACCACCACAACATTTTCGTCAATATTTTCTTAACGGTTTTGTGTAATAATATTAAACGTATAATTTAAAATAATTCACAAAAGAACTGGAGGTAAATTCAATCATTTTTCACATGCACAATGTTGAAACAAAGTACCGAAAAGGATGGTGTAATCAGATTCCAAAAAGAAAACTTGCAAAAGGTCTTGGGGCATGGTCTTGAAGAGGATTATTTTGCAGAGTTATGGACAAAACTAATGGTGCATAAGGCTAAACTGTATAGTTCTTTCAAAGACCCACAGAAGCAGGCCAAATGGCATCTTTCCATGCTTTAAGATTCTCCCGTGTATGCTTCTTCCGATTTGATTCAATTTTGAATATGAAGAGATATTTTCTTCAGTTAAGCATTTATTAAAAACTGAGAATTAAAACCATTTGAACAAACTGAAAAGCTTCACGATGATGAATGAATCTTTTAATCTATTTAATAATACTTTATATAAGGTTAATATTCTATCCAAATAAAAACTAAAAGAACTGCGGATGCTGTAAATCGGAACACAAACAAAGTTGCTGGAAAAGCTCAGCAGGTCTGGCAGCATCTGTGAAGGAGAAAACAGAGTTAATGTTTGGGGTCCGGTGACCCTTCCTCAGAACCATTCTATCCACATAGGAACAAAGAGATAAGGCAATGGTGAAATCAGTAAAAGACAATGGAATAAGGCTTTATCAATACTGTTCATCTGATATGAGTTCTGCCCGACCCATCTATTTAAACAAGGAAATATTCTTACTGTCCCCTTCGAAAGGTAAATTGAGTGAAACTCCTGAATGTGAATAATTTTTAACATGCTAAAGACCTGATTGTTTTTTGTGTGGTATTACTTTGCTGCTCATTAAAAAGTGAACTCTCTGTTTCTACACTTTCTTGTAACTCACAGTTCTGACACATTTTCACCCTCTTGTCTTTTATGGATGTTAATTAGCACATTTTCAAACCTCCAGAAGGACATTGCTCGGACATTGTTGTTTTTCACTTTCTAGCAGTAATTAGAAACTGTACTGTATATTCCATCAACCACACATTTCCGCAAAGTTTGATGGTTCCCTGAAATAGAACACTCTGATGTCGGCAAGTTTGCATCCTGCCTAAAACAATCAACAACATGACCAATCTTTGTGACATCCACAAACTTATCAAGCATCCCTTTTCACATTTTCTTCAATATTTTGTTTATATATATCATGAACAATAGGAGACCAGCAACAAATGTGAATTTTCACTGCATTTGACAAAGGTGCTATGTATATGAAATAAATGAGTTAAAATCTACACTAAACCTGTAAGTAAGGGATACCATACTAGCGTGTTAAAATATTTGTCACTTAGATCAATATCATGCTAATGGTCGATTTGCTTCTTTGGGGCTGATTTAATACAAAGAACAAAGAACAGTACAGCATAAGGACAAGCACTTCGGCTCACCCAGCCTGCGCCAACACCTGATGTCTTTCTAAACTTTTTGCCTCTACGCAATCTGTATGCCTCTATTCCCTGCCTATTCATGTATCTGTCAAGATGCCTCTTAAATATTGCTATGGTATCTGTTTCTACTACCGACTCTGGCAGTGTATTCCAAGCACTTACCACCCGCTTTGTAAAATAATTGTCTGTCACATCTCCTTTCAACTTAAACCTATGTCGCCGAGTAATTGACATTTATATCTTGGGGCAAACGACTCTGACTACCCACTCTATCCGGCCTCTCGTAATTTTGTAAACTTCTATCAGGTCGCCCCTCAGCCTCTGACATTCAAGTGAAAACAAACCTAGTTTGTCCAATCTCTCCTCATAGCTAATACAAGGCTATCTATTATGCAACCTTAAACTTTTATAAATTTGGATATACATATACATATGCGCTGCCGGCAGTGGTAGTGGAATCAGATACTTTAGAGACTTTTAAACAACTCTTGAGTAGGCACATGGAGGATAGTAAAATGTAGGGTATGCAGGATAGATTGATCTTAGTAGAGTAATAGGTCGGCACAACACCGTGCGTCGAAGGGTCTGTACTGTGCTGTACTGCTCTATGTTCTATACTGAGGGAAATAGCTTCCAAATGCATAATTCATTCAGCTTCATGATACAGTTTAAATTTCTCGATTTTCGCACAACTACCATCTTACATAGGGCAGTGTTCAATCCAACTTTCCAACACAGTGAAAATTTCAACCAGTCGTTACTGAGTGGGGGACTTCATGAATTATATCCATAATCCAAGCCACAGAAATATGATCAGCATTGTATCAGCATTACAGGAATCATGATTTCATGTGCCATTTACTGGTTACTTCTCTTGTGCATACATTCAAGGTTATTACAGCTTAAATTTCCACAGGAACTTTATAACCAGTAAACTTGTAGGTGTGCGTGAACATTCAATTGTAAGAACAACAACATGGATTTCCAGGCTCTCTGAGGAAGCCCAGAGCAGACCATTCATGATCTCAAGGTGAAGCTCAGCATGGACTACCTGGTTTAGAAGTTCTGTAATGCTGACGTTTTACTTTTATTTCTTTATTTTTCCAACTTATACTGTAGATTTTGTACCTAGGTATCTTATTTGTACCTAAGATGGTGCCTGAAATGGCAACTTTGTATGCCTTTTGCTGTACTCCTGTATCCCTGTACTTGAGTACACATAATAAACCTAATTCTAATTCTAACAATAGCAATACAGTAAGAACAATACAGAAGTGTGGCTGAAATAAGAACAAGATTAACTATCAAAAGATCAGTTTTTACAACAATGCCCTTTCCAGCAAAAGATCATCCTGCATATATTGTATATGTAATAATATCCACACGCATACATATTGTTCTCTCGTTAGGACTCAGATCTGCCTACACATTGCTTTGAATGCAGAATAACAATTTCAACGCTATAAACAATGCATTTATTTATTCCTTCTCACTATTCTTTCCATCCACCAACCCCTTAAAAATAATGCACTAATATTTCTAAATTGCATGTTAAAACATTAATCAATAGCAAGATTTACACAGCAACAAGTTTTCACTTTCACTTGGAGAGCTGTTTATAATACAGGAAAAAAAAGGTTATTTAGTGACTATTTGCTTAGGTTGTACAATAAATTCTCACTTAAAACACTGTCCATCACTTAGACGAGTTAGCCTTGATCCAGGACTCTGTTACTTACTGAATTAATAATACTGTACCTTTGGCAACCACGCAAAGCAATGAGAATAGAATGATAGGCTTCATTGCAGCTCCGACCCTGGAAGCTACTTCACTCTCTGAAATTAGTGTTGAAAATTCAGAATGAGCTTGTTTTATGTCAGTTTCAGATGCTGTGACCCAGTGGACTGTATGTGCATGTGATGATGTCAACATTTTTCTGGAGTTTCATTACAGATTACTTGGAACTTCCCTCCTATAAGCCATGAAATCTGATTGCTTCATTGGATATGCTTATTCTTAGAATGACATAATCTTACTGTAAACATTGCAGGATTGTAAAGATTATCTATCAAAGTTTAACATGCTCATTCAGGAAAATACTACCCCGACAATGAGTGACCCTGGATTTTGATTTTATTTTAAAATTTAATTAGTGAGTTATTTTTAGAGACTCCTTACAAACACATAGTGATGGTCTTGCGGTATTACCACTGGGCTGTTACTCCAGAGAGACCCAAATAACATTCTGGGACCTGGGTTTGAATCCCAACATAGCAGATGGTGGAATTTGAATTCAATAAATATCTGGAATTAACAGTCTACTGATGACTGTGAATTGATTGTTGGGGTAAAACCCATCTAGTTCACTAGCGCCCTTTAGGGAAGGAGACTACCATCCTTACCTGGTCTGGACTACGTGTGACTCCAGACTCACAGCAATGTGGTTGACGTTGGGCAATAAATGCTGCTTGGCCAGTGACACCCTCATCCTGCAAATGAATAAAGGGGGACACATATCTTGCTTGTGAAAGCATTATTTTCTTAACCATTATAATTTTCCTTAAGCATAATGAGTAATAGCAAAAAAATTGGGGAAAAAAAGACAATGAGGAAATGTGATATTTGATGTCAAGAAATTAATTTTTTAAAGTGAGTTCTACATCTCACTGATGAGTGGCAACTCACAGATTTCCATGCATTTGCCCCCTATTTTTAGCAAATCTCACCCTACTGATATAGGGTTTGCAATTCTCCCGTGCACTGCTGAGAAACTAGGTGACACAAATTTGACGCAAGTCAGGGTGGTTACCTGGACTTTCTTATCCTCCCTCTTAAATTCAAATCACCAACATTTCACGGCATGATCCATGGGTGGCAATTGCAAAATAAAAAAATCTTGCCACTTGTCAGCCCAAGATTGGATATTGTCCAGATCTTATTGAATTTGAATGTGGACTGCTTCAGTAACTGAGGAATCGTGATTGCCGCTGAACATTGTGCACAGAGTCGCCATTGGCAGACCACCAGCCTCAGCACATCATTATGCCTCATGAACAACTCAGCCACCACTTCAAGGCATCGAGGCTGGTTACGAGGAGATCAAAGCTGGGAACTAAATATCCAAGGCTATGTTACTGTTCAACAGGGCAGGCAGGAAGGAATGTGTGCCGGGATAGCATTGTTAGTACAGTGTGGAATAACTACAATGGCAAGAAATGAACTTGGATCAGAAGATGTAGAACCCATATGAGTCAAGTCCAGAAAAGAAAAAAGCAAGAAGAAACTAGTAGGTGTAGTCTATAGGCCCCTAAACAGTAGCTAAATGCCGGGACAGAGAATAAATCAGCAGATATTGAGGGCATGTAACAAAGGCAGTACATTAATTATGGGTGACTTTAATCTTCATGTAGATTGGAACAGTCAGATTGATAGAGGTAGACAAAGGGAAGGATTCATAGAGTGTATTCAGGTCAGTTTTCGTGAACAATATGTTGGTGATGCAACCAGGAAGTCATGCTATTTGTGTTCTCGTGATGTGTAAATGAGGAAGATTTCATAAATGATGTCAGAAATAAATGATGTGAGGATGATTCCGCCCCCACCCCCGACCCCCACCACCCACCCCACCACCACCACCCCCCACCACGACATCACGGCCGTATTTTACTGAGAGTGGCATCAAGGACCCAAACAAAACTGGAATCAATGAGAGTCACGGAGCAAACTCTCTGCTGGTTACAGTCGTACTGCATATTGATGTTTGTGGTTGTTGGAGGTCAGTCATCTCAGTTCCATGACATCTCTGCAGGAGTTCCTCAGGGTAGTATCCTAGGTCCAACCATCTTCAGCTGCTTCATCAATGACCTTCCCTCCATCATAAGGTCAACAAGTTTCATCCCAACATCAGATTTACCATGGACTACTCTTTAGAATCAGTCTTATTCTTGGACACAGGCGATCTCCATCAGGGACGAACACCTCAGTACCTCTCTCTACCGTAATTCTACAGATAACCTCAAAATATTGCACTTCTCTGGCTTCCACCCTAAACATATTAAAACAGTCAACTCTTACGGACAAGCCCTACGTACACACAGGATCTGTTCAGATGAGGAGGAATGAGACGGACATCTGAAGGTGTTGAAGGATGCCCTCATAGGTACAGGATACGATGCTTAGCTAATTGATCGCCAGTTCCGACATGCCACAACGAAAAGCCATAATGACCTTCTCAGAAGATAAACACCGGATACGTTCATTTGGGTATCCTTCATCGTCCAGGACTTAACCAGCAGCAGAGAAACTACATCATGCTGTTTGATAATAAGGTGTAGAGCTGGATGAACAGGCCAAGCAGCATTCCTGCTCCTCTGATGCTGCTTGGCCTGCTGTGTTCATCCAGCTCTACACCTTGTTATCTCAGATTCTCCAGCATCTACAGTTCCTACTATCTCTCACATCATGCTCTTTGTTGCCTTCAACACATTATTGATGACAATGAACACCTCACCAAGATATCCCCCCCGCCTCCATTTCCCACTTTCAAACAATCACCAAATCTTAAACAGACCATTGTTTGCAGCAAACTACCCAACCTTCAGGACAACGTCAACCACAACACTACACAACCCTGCCATTGCAACCTCTGCAAGACATGGACATTACCATCCCACGTGGGAACACCACCCATCACGTACATGGCAGACACTCATGGGACTTGGCCATGTTGTCTATCTCATAAGCTGCAGGCAAGGATGACCCAAGGTATGGTATGTTGCTGAGACCATGCAGACACTACAACAATGGATGAATGGACACTGCACGACAATCGCCAAACAGGGATGTTCCCTCCCAGTGGGGGGGCACTTCAGCAGTCAAGGACACTCAGCCTCAGATCTTCAGGTAAATGTCCTCCAAGGTAGACTTCGGGATACACAACAACACAGAGTTGCCGAGCAGAGGCTAATAGGTAAGTTCCGTACCCATGAGGACGGCCTCAACCGGGATCTTGGGTTCGTGTCACACTACAGATGACCCCACCACACTATACACTGACACACACACACACACACACACATATAGATACACACGCATACATACACACACTCACTTACACACATGCATACATACTACAGTCACTTACACAAACACTCACACTCTCACACAAACACACACACACACTCGCACACACGTATACATGCACATACACTCATTCACACAAACATAATCACACCCACACACACACACCCCGCCCCATACACACACATTCTCTCTCTCACACACACACACATTCTCTCTCTCTCTCACTTTGTCACACAAACACTGTCTCCCGCACACACACACTCTGTCCCACACATACATTCTTTCTCTCTCTCTCTTACATACACATACTCTTCCCCCCCGACACACACACTCACTCTCTCTCTCCACCCCCCACACATATGCACATCCACACACACACACAAACACACACACACTCTCTCTCTCTCTCTCTCTTTGATCTTTTACTTATTCGGTGTCAAATACAACCTCTCTCACCAACACCTGAAGAAGGAGTGAAATTCTGAAAGCTTGTGTTTTCAAATAAACCTGTTGGACGATAACCTGGTGTCATATGATTTCTGTCTTTTTGAGACAGCCTGGCACTGACGGCTGGCTCAGTCAATAGGGAAATTACAATTTTTAATACTGCCTTTTGTAACACCTTTTCCTGGAACTGAAATCATTAACTTGGAGTAACAGAATTATATAAATTACATTGCTGTGTCAAACGGATGGAAATATATAGCAGGACTCTGCATGTCAATTACCCTACCAGCATAGTGAACAATAATAAATCACTGAACTTGGGGATGATCCAGAAAGCTGTATTTAAAATCAAACAATGACAAGGCAGAAAACAGCAAAGAGATAGAGTGCTGGGTAGCAAAGTGCAAAGATGACAATATCGCCCTCAATGTCAGCAAAAATAAAGAACTGATCATCAACCTGAGGAAACAAGTAGAAGGACATGCCCCTCTCTATATCAATGGAGCTGAGGTGGAGATGGTCAAGAACATCAAGCTGCTAGGAGTGATGATGACAATCAACAAAAATCTGTCCACAATGACCCTCTGAAGACCATCCCACCCAGACCCAACCACATCCGTGTAAGTCTGCATTTCCCATGGCTGATCCATACATCCCTGAGCACTGGCAATTTAGCATGGCCACTCACCTAACCTGCACATCCTTGGACTGTGGGACGAAACCAGAGCCCGCAGAGGAAACCCACACAGACTCAGGGAGAATGTACAAACTCCACACAAACAGTCTCCCGAGGGCAGAATCGACCCCAGGTCCCTGGGTCAGGGAGGCAGCAGTGCTAACCACTGATCCGTCATGCCTGACAAATTTATCAGAATTCTTTGAAGAGTTAACAAGCAGGATAGGTAAAGGGAAGGCAGTATATATATTATATTTGGAATCTCAGAAGGCATTTGACACGGTAGAACACATAAAGCTACACATAAGGCTACACGTGAGGTACGGGCTCATGGTTTTAGTAGCAGCTACGAGCATGGATAGATGATTAACTAACTAGTAGAAGACAGAGAGTTGGAATAAGGAGGACAATTCTAGGATGACAGGCGGTGACGAGTGGAGTGCTTCAGGGATCAGTGCTGGGGTCTCAGTTATTTACAATATGCATCGATTCTTGGATGGGGAATGAGAATGTACTATCACCAAGTTTGCACATGAAACAAAAACAGGTGGGAAAGCAAGAGGTGGGGATGGTTCAAAGTGTCTGCAGAGTTTAAATAAAAGGAAAGCAGCAGATATAATATATTTGGGATCTCATAAGGCAGTTGACA